TCTGTAAGATAACAATAATTAATAATAATAATTAAATAATAATAATAATAAAGAGGAAGCAAATAATTTACAACATTTCTTGGTTATAACTAGTTGATATTTTTGCAACACCGATACAACATCAGTGAGATTTGTTGTCGTTCTGTGACTACTGACCCTTGAGGAAATTTTTTGTATCACCGAATGGCTGACAAAAGTGATCATTAAATGTTTTAATATATTCGCGACTTGCAATATGGATAACGTAGGCCTAATTATAATAAACGGCTTTAAAGTTTGAATGAAAGATGCACACTATACTCCCTACCAGAGGCCGTTCTAGCTGTAACAAAAGTTTAGAAGGATCTTGCCTTTAATTATTCTAAAACAGGCCGTTCTAGCACTTACCAAACGAAACACGTTCTTTTGTAAAATTGTGTAACAACCTGGGTGGATTGGGGGCCGTCTTCTGGAAGACAGTCAGATTTAGAAGTTTACACTGACGAGTGTCTAATTTTTGCTGTTGGAAGAGGGTCAAAAATGGAGGATGGATAAACAAATATAATTTGGAAGACTGTCAAAAATAGCTCTGGTTCCGCCCCTGATGTCAACTAAAAGGAACTCTGGTGGTGAATACTGCAATTGCGGGTCGAGTGCAGTCTGTCGCGTTCAACGTTTACATACCCGGTTTTTGGGTCTATTTAGCATTTCCGTGAACTCAAAAAAGCTGTTAAAATCCTCGAATTGTTAATAACAGAATTTTGGACGTCCTAATTTCATTTTTTGTCAGTAATCCTGTCAATAAGTGCATTTTTATGACTTGCCGTAATGATGGTTTGTCTGCTTTGCTTTTGATGACGGGAAATTCCGTATGGGCTTTCATTTTACTGTTCAAACGGAGTGTGATTTTTATTTGCAATTTTAAATTTTCTGAATTCTTTTTCTAGTTTTTTAAAAGCCATGCTATTCGCACTAGGCCTTTGCATGTTGTACATTCGACAAAAATAAATGTCAACAAGTTTTTTTAACCATGGATTTTCCTTTTCAAACTGTAGAGAAAGTTACGATTTTGAGAGCCGATTATCCCTTCTACAGCCGCTTTTTTTTCATCTAACTTAATTTGAGACCTGCCTGCGGTAAATGTGGTACAGTGTTAGACCTCACAATAAGGCAACAATTAGACACTGCTGAAATATGACATCAAAAAACTTACCGCCGTTCCTTGTCTCTTTGAAACTGAACTCTGTGCTGCGACACGTGCTTCAAAGACGACAAACCAAGATGCACATTTATATGTACCTTGCATCTCTTGAAGTTGAAATAAATAATAATGAAAACTCCATAAAACCCAGCCTTGTTCAATTTTCACGGCTGTCTGAGCCGTCGAAATGTTATGCCTATATCAATTAGCTATTTAGCTTCAGGGACTTAATTAAAAAGCACTATGGATCCTGAAAACTTTTTGAAACTCTTAAAACTCTTTACAGTAAAGAAAGTAATTGTCCATGTGAAGTACTCCGTTACTTTAATACTCCTTTCAGTATCAGTACTCCTGTTCTCTGATTTTCCTCAATTCAGTTTTTGACTTTTTTCCCCGCGACTGGCACATTTGGTGTTTTGGGAGTCATTGGGTGCTAATATTAACTTCACGGGCATCCACATCCGATCTCAATGAAAAATAGAGAGAACCGAAGTAATATGTAATTATATCTCAGCCGATAATTGACATAACATTCAGAACGAAGTATATTTGTATATACTTTGTAATTTCGACTCAAGTCCACCCATACTTCTAAAATCCACATTTTGCCAAGTTCTTTATAAATATTAAGAAAAATGCGTTTCTAACACACACTAGTCCGAACAGAGTGTTGTCATTTAAAAATTCATTTTTATTTTCTTTTAGGTATATGGGTGGCATATATTAAGGAATCTTTCTACGACTATATATAGCTTTGAATGTGTTGGCGTGAGCTGTGACATAACATATTGACAGTATGGCATTCCAACCCACCATTTGTCCCAGAGCTGCAGGTTATTTCTCGGCACATCAGCTGGGTTTGGATTCTAGACACGATCATTGTCTGGAAGACGGTCAGATTTTTAAGTTTGCATTGACTGGTATCTGATATTTTTCTGTCGGAAGACGGTCAAAAATGGAGGACGGATCATAAAGATAATTTGAAAGACGCCCCTGAATTTCTTAACTTTTTCCGGCTACACCAGAACAACAGTCTGTTTAAACAAATCGCTATTGGATTCAGCTATTTAAGATTTAATGTTTATTAAATCGGATTAAAATATCCCATAGTAGATTTCAAGCACGCCTGAAACAAAATTTCATATCGTACATGTCTGGAACCAAAATGACAAATAAAGTTCAGTGATATTCTTTATTTTGCTCATAAAAACATGATAATTCATCTGTGGAGTCTATTGATAATGTTCCTATGTTAAAACTGTCACACTGTATGGCGCAGAATTTTTACTGATACATTGGTGAATAGCGCTCAGTCTCATAATAATAATAAACACTGAGAAGGTGAAACTGTAGAAAGTAAAACGTTTAAACTTCATCAATACGAATACCATGATAATCATGGGAAATTTTCAAATATGCATTTATTCTCTTCGAATGCTCTTACAGCGATTTTCGTCTCATAAGGTAGTACTGTTTAAAGAAGCAGGTAATAAATGGGATGAGTTGGTCGAACTTTATCTAAGACAGTTGAAAAGGGCAAATCTGGCCACTGAGGATCTAATAGTTATATATCAATCAATAATTAGATCAGTCCTAGAATATGCATGCCCTGTGAGGGGGCCTGGTCTTACAGCCGAACAATGTGAATGCTTAGAATCTGTTCAAAGGAGAGCTCTTAGAATTATTTACCCATTTTATACTTACAAGGATGCCCTACAGGCTAGTAATCTCACCTCTCTGAGGGAGAGAAGAGACGTTTTACTTAAGAATTTTTTTACAAAAATCAAGAATTTTAATAAGCTACACCATCTGTTTAAACAAAAGAACCCAAGAAATCTCAGGGTCAGCAACAAATTTTTAATACCAAAAGTAAAAACGGAGCGTTTTAAATCATCTTTTATAATGCACAGTCTTTTAAATTTTATGTAAATTACTGCTTCAAACTGTCTTATAAGTCTTTGGTCCTTTCAGTTTATAATTTTTAGTTAATTTTAAAATACCTTATGATTTTATTATTTAAGACACATTGTAAAACTTCAACCTTTAGGTTGCGATTTTAGTAAATAAATTATTATTATTATTATTATTATTATTATAACTTATATACATTCTTACTATTTCCATAGAAAAGATTATCATAAAGAGATGATAAGAGTTGTCCTTGATGTTCTTGGTACGCATCATCATAATCAACTCCCCACTTCCCTTCCCACAATAAGTTGCCAAATGGGAAATTTATTGAAGGTGTATAATAACGCCCAAAAATGGCATGCAGAGTTTTACTAGTTCTAAAATTTTGTAATGATGTTGGTATGCCATAACAACGAACATATCGGGCAAAAATGTGTTTCATGTGACCGCTGTCTGGAAAACAGCCGATACTTCAGACTGACATTTTGTTTTGATATCAACTATAAACTGTTGTTTAATGTGCCGTTTAATGTTACGTCTCCCGGGCTATAAAGGTTGAAGACACTGATGTTCTTTCCAAATATAATGTCTATTATTTCGACACCAAAACTTTACATTATCTCGACCGGTTGAAGAAAGCTAGGCACTAAGGTTTTTGGAGAGCAATTAGCCGAACCATTTGCATTTAGAAGCTGCAAAGTCTATTAACTTTGAAACGCTGTCCATGTTCTTCGCATATTCTCACGGTTAAGTTACTTGAACGCTTTTAATTGAACTCAATTTAATTAATTTCTGTACAGGTATATATATAGATGATCATGACTTTGTACATAAGAATACAATAACAGCAATACAATTGGTGTATTACCATTCTCTAATTGGTAATTATGTTGCCAGTATGCGACTAAACAAATATATATTACTGGCATCACTCACATAGAGAGTAAATGTCCTTTACCCTCCCCCATATTATGCTGTGTTTTTCTTAAGATAAATTAATTCCCAATTAATTGATTTTAAGTCGGGAAACACGATAGGGTGTGAGTGACCCCTTTTACGCATGCACACTTAGTTTCTTCCTGGCGCGCTTAAAATGTACTGTATGGAAAAAGTCGTGAGCAAATCAGCTTTTTTTAGAATCTGCACATATCGACTAAAGAATAATACACTTGTTTTGATGATTATGTGATTTTGGTATGGCGTACGCGGGAGTTGTCATATTCCAGATGCGATTTTGATGGTGTGAAAACACATAATAATTAATGGTGGGGAAAGTAAAGCGCACGTTGGATTATAAACTAATTTAGCCCATGGCAACGATAAATTTGTTCAATTCCACAGTAAACAATTGTGCTAATTGTACTTTTGCTCTCCCCTTCTCTTCATGTTCTAACACAAGAAACATTGCTGTGCTAGCTGTACGTGCCTTTACTCTACCCTTCTATTCTCTTCATGTTCTAACACAAGAAACAACTGTGCTAGCTGTACGTGCCTTTACTCTACCCTTCTATTCTCTTCATGGTCTCACACAAGAAACAACTGTGCTAGCTGTACCTTAACTCTACCCTACTCTACAATATCCTCTGATATCAGGGCCCCCACTAAAATACTATACAAAATCACATTATACAGACTACTGGCGCCCCTGTGGTTAGTGAGTAACTCTACATGGTCTAAAACAAGAAACGTTTGTGCCGGCTGTATCTTTGCCTTACATGTACCTAATTCTTTATGTTCATATGCTGGAAATAAAATGTGCTATGGCGGCAGTGTCATACTGCTACAAATGTCACTGTCTGCCCTATGGAGAGGAAGCAATGTGTATAAATCTGGATCACTGATTCTGAATGGCCGACCTTGTTGACATATCACAAGGACAAAGCTCGGTCAACCATACAGTAGGCCTACTTTTCGAGGTCATAGCCATCGACTTCAAAACACGCATAGAAACCTTTGGTTAAAATGCACTTTGATGACACTTATCAGTGTTGGCAACACTGCCTCTCCTGGCCAATAATAGACTGCACTAACAGCATTCTCCACCTGGTAACAGGCGAACCAAGGCTATAAACTCCAGCAAAACAAAGGAAATAAGGTTGAATTTTTCATCCGGTCATCAACGACAACCAATCACAATAGATGGAAGGCGGAGTTGGATCGATCTACGTAGACCGATAGTTTCATTGGGAATGACCTCCTGTAATTACCGTGAGTAAGGTATAAATATAAGCACATGTATAAATACTAGAGTAGATCAATACCGTGCTGCATGAAGCTACTGCACCCCATTATTTATTTGACTGCTGACAACCTTTGCTGACATGCTAGTTGGCCGCTTTGAACCCTATACTGAATAAAAACAAAGGTTTTCGTCAACATTTATATTGACTTGTGCTCTGACTATACCCAATTATATGATGTGGCTGATTAATTGTTGAAGTACATTTGAAGACCCTTTTCCGAGATTGTCTGTTTGGGTCTTAGGTCAGGATAACCCTAACCATTATAACCATATGGAGGACGGACTTTCTGTCACAAGGACCCTCAGTTTCGTTACCAATTTCATTACCGTTCCTACTAGGCCTACACCGGGCCTATCACGCATCTAAGAGGCTCAGTACCCTTTACCAGGGCCCCAAATTAATCATGCAGGCTTACTCTTCTCTAACGCGTAGTAGTGAAACAAGGCATAAACCAGACACAGGTCTGTGAATATCTAGTAAGAAATCAATTTGTATTAAAAAACTGAAGAAAATGTTACCATTTTTCGGACCCATGAACCTTTGGACCAGTGAATCTTCGGACTATCGAGACGCCCCCAAACGTGAAACATGCACATTTGGATTTACATTTACACGTATTTGTGAGACCTTGTGTCTTTTGATCTTATAGTCGAGCTAAGGAAGCCACGACGAAGAAGTAAGTGACAAAATAGACATGGCCATGTAGATATGGTGTTTTATAACATAGTCAATTTGGGCTCTAAACACCGCAGTAAAAGACAAACGCGACGTGGATCGTGACAATTTTGCATATATGAGACCCAATATATTGCAAAATCGACATGTTTTGAATGTTTGGGGGCCTTCTGAAAGACACGCAGAGGCTTCTTTGATGGTACATAACGTATGGTATGCCTACATTTGGATGCATGATGCATGAACTGTAATAATAGTCAATGTCTACAGATTTCTGTCAATTTCTGGCTTACATATCCCATAACATACATTTCATATAACCGCACATATGTAGTGGTGGTAGGCGACTGAATTGAATTAATTCCATTTTTGTTGCCCTAATCTCATCTTGGAGCCCCACTTGCATTAAACTACATGACATATGTAACCACGATTTACTCAATGACCACACAAAGCTGAAAGATGTACTCTAGGCGAAACGGTAGACTTATGTCCACATAAAAATTATAATAGTCCGTGGTCCCCCTCCCTCAGCCATCAGAATGTGTTTTTTCCATTGAACTGGCGGTGGGTGTGAGTGACAGAGCTTTTGCCAGGGAAACGCAAGGGATAAAAATTTTAATTTCGGAGACTCAGGAAAAATAGAAAGAGAGAAAGACCAACTCCAGTGCTGTGCTTGGCAGGCTTTACAAAATACAGTGAACAAGAGTTCTCATTTTTTGTATAAAATTACAGTTTATTATAAAAGCGCGGGGAAAAGTGAAAGTTCATATCCAAGCTTGCAGTAAGATTATAGGTTTTCCCATTGAAGTTCAATAGTTAGTATAAGAGATAGACAATTTGGGAAGTGTGGTTTATGGTGAAAAGTCGGTCAAAGGTCAAATTCACGGTCACAGAAAACTGTTAATATACAAGTTCCTATACAAGTACAGTAGTAACTAAGGGTAAATTTCCGCCAGTTTCGGATATGTAAGGGACGGAAAATTTGCAGTTCAGTTCATGGCGAAAAGTTGGTCAAAGGTCATTTTCAATTAAGGTCTCAGTTAGATTGCCAGTATATGACTTCTTATTGAAGATCAATAATAACTATGGGCAAATCTTTGCCAGTTTTGGGGATATATGGCTGCTTCTCCAGTGATTATGCACCGACTGATCCCAGACTCACGAAGGTGAAAGATGATCCCAAGTGTCAGTAGTATTATGGGATAGGTGTGTGTAGTTTCAGAACGTCGGCAAAAAAAATCCTTTTTTTAGAAACTTTTGGCCCGTTTGACCCTGAAATAAAGGTCAAAGGTTAAATCCAAGGGCATATTTGAAATCTCCACACATGAATTTCGGACAGATAGCTGTAGTAACTCGTCCCATAATTCCTTCGGTTTGGGAGATATTTAGCATTTAATTTTGCAAATTTTGGACAAGGGTGCATTCTGACGAGCGCCACACCTTGACCCAAGCACCGACAAAGCCCAAATTTCACATGGATCGAGTTGAGCTTATATGTGGCCTACATACAAGAGGTTGATACAGGGGCTCTTGTAGTTTAGGGGGAGAAGCGGTTCCGGCGATATGGCGGTGGATACTGCAAAGCCGGCGGATACGGCGGACGAGACGGGTCGAGACTGAAACCATATGCACCGCCAGCGCTGCTCTGGTAATACAATCATCTCATATGTGTAACCTACAATAATTTTAGGTTCTATGCCGTAGTTCAAACTAGGCTGACATCATATCGCTTGGGATTTTTCTCAAAGACCATTTTTATTTATGGTAAAAAGTTTTTTTCCGTATTTCAGATGAAATTTGGCTCGATAACGTTGACGGTGGTCGCCTCTGCTATATGTGTTCTGGGACTATATCAACTGTTGTCAGCTGTCACATGGCTTCGTTACATGGACAGCGGTTACTTACATGAACAATCCCACTTTACACAGCATTTCACGGCGAGAAAAGGAGACATAAAGTCAAAAATCCATATACAAGATATGCGGTCAATTACATGCAAGAACACGACATTGAAGAAACTGGATCCGTTCCATCCCTCCGCTCTGCCATATATTCCCCATTTCCCGCCGCTCAAATGTAGAAGACAGGCATCGGTGGCTGAAAGTAAAGTTGACGGAGACGGATACTTGACGCTTATCATCAAAAACTATTCAAAGGTAACCGATAACATACACTGTTATTATCAATACATACGTCACCCGACAAAACCTTACAAAGAGGATGAGGCATTTGTTTTAAGTAAAAGGATTGATTTATCTCCAGCAAATAGAGTAAAACTTCAGGAGGATTTTGTGTATGTTTTCTGCATTAACGAAACTGGATACAAAGTTTATGAGAATTTCCATCTCCACATGGTAAAAAAAGAAGAGGAGCTTATTTCCAAAAAATACTCTGAAATAACAGGAAATCAACCAAGGTTGAATGTGTTAATTGTGATCAACGACGGAGTGTCGATGTCTGGTGCCGTTCGTTATCTTCCAAAAACAATAGAATACTTAAAAAAAGAAATGAACGGTACCATATTTCCAGGATGCCATGCAGTTGGTGAGAATTCTCTACCGAATTTGTTCCCGCTTCTGACGGGATTGCCCCATACTGAGGCCAGTATTGATGCCCCGTTTGTATGGAAACACTTCTCGGAGAAAGGCTATAAAACGTTTTACTTGGAGGACAAAGTATGGGCCACCTTCACGTATGTAGATCCTGAGGCTACCCGGCCGCCAGCAGACTACTACACACATCCATTCTGGGTGGCAATGGAAAATTCGTCCTTGTATTGGGACTCACAGACTTTCTGCCTGGGCAATGATCCTATACATCGAATTGCACTTCAGTATCTGGGATATTACGTTGAAAATTACCAACGTCAGTCGTATTTTGGTCTTTATTTTTTAAATGAATTAAGCCACGATTATGGAAGCGCTATCCAGTTAGCAGACGCTGATTACAGAGACTTCCTGAAAGAGCACAATGAAAGAGGACATTTTAACAATACGATAATGTTATTTATGAGCGACCACGGTTCACGGTACGTATATATAGAGCTACATCTTCATCCTCTCTCTCTCTCTCTCTCTCACACACAAACACACATACACACACACACACATACACACACACTCAGCGCACATAACTTTTAACTTCTTACCTTCTTACCCACTTCTTTCGCGCAAAACTCTCTCTTTCTCTGTCATTAAAAACTAATAGATACAAAGTAACTTCTTTTTGTTCATTACAAGGAGTCCTCTCTCTCTCTCTGTATGTCACACTCTCATACTCTCACACTCTTATACACTCTCTGCATTCTTATTTATACTTTTAACGAAGGCCAGTCTGTCTGTTTATATTCACGTCTTGTCTGTTTATATTCACTTATATCTGTCGTTTCTTCAAGGTTTTTCGGGCTCCGTTCAACCCCTATTGGTCACCTAGAAGCCAGCAACCCTCTGCTAACAATGGTTCTGCCACCATGGCTCAAGCAGCAGTACCCGCACATAGCAGAAGCTGTAAACTCGAACGCAGAGCGATTGGTTACTCCGTACGATATCCACGCTACGTTAGTCGATATCCTTCACTCTGATTTGCCAATTACCAAAAAGAGTACCAATGGCAAGAAACGTAGAGAAAGACTTGCGAAAGGAATAAGTTTGTTCCAAAATCTTCCCAGCAGGACGTGTGCCTCAGCAGGTATACCAGAAGACACCTGCACTTTATGTACACCACTGGAACCAACTTTTCTGGATATTAATTCACAGAAATCACGCTTCATTGCAAACGCCGTATTGACCAAAATAAATAACGTTCTCGTCAATGCGACATCAGAGTGTGACGTTTTACTGATTTCAGATATTACTTATATAGCCGTAACCTCTTACGACAGGCTTTCTGTTACTTATATTGTAATTGTTAAGACGGTACCAGGGAGCGGGATATTTGAGGCGTCTGTACGTGAGACGAGGGCCATGGCTTCTGACTCCACAGAGAGCCAATATACTGTTATCACACCAGTTATACGTATCAGTCTCTATGACAACAACTGTTGCTGTGCAGAGGACAGTCGCATAGACAAATACTGTCATTGCAAGGTGACACGTAGGCAAAGCCGCAGTAAGGTCTTCCCGTTATATTATTAACAAAATTCAGGGGTACTTACATTTATACTTCACACTATATGCTGGTTGTTAAGGGGGGGGGGGGGAGTGGGCAGGTGACCAGAGCCTAAATGTAACAGATTGAAAATATGTTGAAATGTATTCAGTTCTAGGTTGTTATCAAAGCTGGCCTGTACAACCCGTGGATTACACGTTTTTACATTTAAAAAATACACGCAAACTGCAGTACCCCAGCATTCAGACAGAAAGATTCAAATATCAGCACAGTAGAAAGAACAACAGTTTTTTTTCCATATTTGATATCGCAAACTTGTCATTTGTCTTTATTTTCTTAATGAATTCGCTTCAGCTATGCCTATGGTATTAATGAGAAATTTGGCAACAAATCAAGGAATTTTTTAATATGATAGAAAGAATTCCCCTGAAAGGGTGATGTACACACTTTTGAAAAATGGCAAAGTTGCCGAGACCCCCTTTAAATGGTATTCCAACCGGGCGGTTACAACGGGGTAACGTCACGTGCGTCACATACCGTGCCAGCTACATTAAAAACAGCGTTAGGTACTAAACACATTTCTTAGCGCCTGTTTTGTTACACGCATTAAGGCTGAATGTGTTTGGCAATGTGACTCGTTTTGGAAGATCTGAAATTTATTGAAACAGACCAAATATGTGCATATCATTAATACAATATAATAAAAAGAAGAGTTCACTTCTTATATACCGCACTATACTGACGCGTCTCAGCGTAGATTACGGACGCCTAGTCATTTTTCGCCCTGATACAATCTGGGTGTTGACTCTACTGCCTCCATGGGGAGGTTATAGGCTATAGCCCAACATGCCGTATGAAGCGCTGAACACTAGAAAACGAGAATATCTTTCTCTCCCAGACCAGGAACTTTATCCCTGCTTCAATCCCAGAGTGCCAAACACAGTATGTGCCGTTTATGATCATAAACATGATGGTCTTTATCAGCTCTAGCACATTTTTACAAAGGTTTATGACCGAACACATGTATAAGTAGCATAACTAAGTATATGAAAAATTAGTATAATGATCGAATCAATCTACATACATCAAAGCTGAGATACATGAAACATTGGCTTTGCTATTAATGTTAATATCTGGATTATTACAAGTATCTGACACATTTCTCTCATTTAGAAGGTAATTATATTAATAGTAACTGGCCATCTCGCTAAATGTGATATTTTTTCATTGTGTCATACTGCGTAATTTAGCTTAGCCTTGACAGTCTGGTATGTCCCCAGACGGAGTCAATCCCATGTTCTCCAATTTCGAAGGCGGGCACTCTAAATACTAGGCCATCCGATAAGCGGATGCTGAAATTCACATCCGGTTCGAGAGAACTGCCCTTTTTGTCCGGAAAATGTCCATTCTGGGTAAAATTTGAACTAGCTAAACAAAGGTTTCATTGTAAAAGGTCCACTTTTTCAGAAAAAGAACCCACCTTTTAAATTTGCTGGCATCGGGCCTGAAAGCTATAGGCCTACGTGTTTACACATATTCCCAAACGCGTTAAGGTGCTAAAAGTATATGTCTTTAAAAGCTTAAAGGGTTAATAACTCTTCGTTTTGGCAAAAAAATTAATATTGATGTATATAAGTTGTAGGTAATCACCATCAAGATTTATTTAATTTATTATTATTATTATTATTATTATTATTATTATTATTGTTGTTGTTATTCGTTTTACTATTATTTATTATTTTGTGACTAAGGTTTACATGTATCTCGATCCTTTACAGTACACTTAATAACGCACATTGTACGAAAACCATCAACGCACTCCGTCATTTTGTGTGATAAAATGGCTTACATGGATGTTTATTTTGGCTTTACGCAGTTATAAACGCTTAAAACATTTAAACCCAAACAATTGTTAGGCCAATTTGTTCTGCTTAAATGTTAAAACAATTCAACCTAAGTAAGTTACTGATTGTAGTAGAGACGATGACTTATTTTTTTTCACTCCAGATTGCGTTACAGTACTACTCATGCAGTTTGTCAAACATGGCAAAAACTAAATCTCAAATGAGTCTTTTCATCGTTGGACAAAAGAAATTATCTACAGATATCATTTAGAAGCTGCGAAGTCTATTGGCTTTGAAACATTGTCCATGTTCTTCGCACATTCTCAAGGTTAAGTTACTTAAAAGCTTTTAATTAAATTGAATTTATTCCTGTACAGGTACATGTACGTGTATATATTATCATGGCTTTGTACATTATAATATAATAACCACAATAAAATATATATTACTGGCACCACTCACATAGATAGTAAATGCCACTTACTCTCCCCGCACCCCATATTGTTCTGTGATTTTCTTGACTTAAGATAATTTAAATCCCAATTAATTGATTTTAAGTGGGGAAATTGAACACGATGGGGTGTGAGTGACCCGTTTTACACATGTGCAATTAGTTTCTTCCTGTCGAGCTTAAAATTTACTGTATGGAAAAAGTTGTGAGCAAATCAGCTTTTTTTAAGAATCTGCACATATCGACTAAAGATTAAAATGCTTGTTTTGATGATTATGTGATTTTGGTATGGCGTAACCGGAAGTCGCCATATTCTACATGCGATTTTGATGGTGCGAAAACACAATAATTAATGGTGGGGAAAGTAAAGCGCACGTTGGATTATAAACTAATTTTGCCCATGCCAACAATATATTTGTTCAAGTCCACAGTAAACAATTGTGCTAGCTGTACTTTTGCTCTCCCCTTCTCTTCATGTTCTAGCACAAGAAACAACTGTGCTAGCTGTACGTGCCTTTACTCTACCCTTCTATTCTCTACATGTTCTAACACAATAAACAGCTGTGCTAGCTGTACGTGCCTTTACTCTACCCTTCTATTCTCTTCATGTTCTAACACAAGAAACAACTGTGCTAGCTGTACGTGCCTTTACTCTACCCTTCTATTCTCTTCATGTTCTAACACAAGAAACAACTGTGCTAGCTGTACCTTAACTCTACCCTACTCCACAATATCCTCTGATATCAGGGCCCCCACTAAAATAATATACAAAATCACATTATACAGACTACTGGCGCCCCTGTGGTTAGTGAGTAACTCTACATGGTCTAAAACAAGAAACGTTTGTGCTGGATGTATCTTTGCCCTGCCTTATTCTTTATGTTCATATGCTGGAAATAAAATGTGCTATGGCGGCAGTGTCATACTGATACAAATGTCACTGTCTGCCCTATGGAGAGGAAGCGATGTGTATAAATCTGGAACACTGATTCTGAATGGCTCACCATTAATGCTGACATATCACAAGGACAAAGCTCGGTCATCCGTACCTCTCGAGGTCATGGTCATCGACCTCAAAACACGCATATAAACCTTTGGTTGTAATGCACGTTGATGACACTTATCAGTGTTGGCAACAATGCCACTCCTGGCCAATTACAGACTGCAGTAACAGAATTCTTCATCTGGTAACAGGCGAACCAAGGCTATAAACTCCAGCACAACAAAGGAAATAAGGTTGAATTTTTCATCCGGTCATGAACGACAACCAGTCACAATAGATGGAAGGCTCCGCGGAGTTGGATCGATCTACGTAGACCGATAGTTTCATTGGGAATGACCTCTTATAATAACCATGAGTAAGGTTAATAGGCACATGTATAGAGACTGAGGTAGATCAATACCGTGCTGCATGAAGCTACTGAGCGCCATTATTTATTTGACTGCTGACAACCTTTGCTGACCTGCTAGTTGGCCGCTTTGGACCCTATACTGAATAAAAACAAAGGTTTGTTCGTCAACATTTATATTGACTTGTGCTCTGACTATACCCAATTATATGATGTGGCTGATTAATTGTTGTAGTACATTTAAAGTTGTAAAAACAAAGACCCTTTTCTCGCGATAGTCTGTTTATAATAGGGGGCAGCTTATTACTACTGCCGAAGTGACATGAGGCATGCCTCTTCCGTATTTTATAACAAACTTGAAAGTCATATAAAGGCGAAATTTCACAGTGAAAGAAGAATGCGGTATGCCCGGCTTGACACGAATGGTAGTCTTCTAGGAACCCTAGTCTGTTCCCCATTACTTTGTACAGGTGACATTCGTCCCATATGGAACTAACCCCGATACTCCGCCTAACATGTAGTAATCATATGGGAGTCCGGTGTCAAGCAACACAGAGTCCTACCATTCTAGGGCCCGGCGGACCCGGTGTTTTAAAACTGAGAGTCCGGCGGACTCCCTCTCTCGAAATAACGGGTCCCGGACTCTATGTTCTGAAATGTAGAGTCCACCTAGACACTCTATTGCAGTACGGAAAGTCCTAGGACCCTACGTTTTAATACTGATAGTCCGCATTGAGGAGTAAAAATTAAAAATATTATTCTTATAACATGAAATTTGAATATGATTTTGAACAGAATGAAGAAA